AATCCCCCAAAATCACCAAAAAACCCACCCCAAAAATACCACCCCAAAATCTGACCTTCCCTCCCCCATCCCCTGCTCCTGCATCCCTGATCCCCGACGGGGTGGCTTTGTTTGGGTTTTTTTTTCCCCCCAGGGCCGCTTTCGGCAAAGAATCCGAAGTTCTCATCGGCAACCTGGGCGACAAACTGATCCCTCAGCAGGAGATCCTGCGCGACGTCAGCGACCTCAAGGCCTTGGCCAACATGCACGAGAGCCTGGAGTGGCTGGCAGGGCGCGCCAAGGGGGCTTTCTCCAGCCTCTCCTCCTCCCACAGTGAGTGTTTCCCGTGGGAGAGCCTTCGCCTTGGGGCTGGAGCGGAGGAAAAGGGAAGTTTTAGGGGGTTTAGGGGGTTCCGAAGCGGGTTGGGGTCAGAGGGAAGAGGGAGGAGGAGGAGAAGCTCCGTGTCTGTATTCCTGGTGGGTGCTGTGGTGGGACAGCTGCGCTGCAGGGGGACAGGAGCAGCACCTGCAGCTCTCGGAGGTCTTTCCACCAAGACCCCAAAGGTCTTTCCACAAAGACCACGAGGTCTTTCCTCAAGGACCACCAAGGTCTCTCCACAGAGACCACAAAGGTCTTTCCAGCTCACAAATGTCTTTCCATAAAGACCTCAAAGGTCTTCCCAGCTCTCAGAAGTCTTTCCACAAAGACCACCAAGGTCTTTCCTCAAGGACCACAAAGGTCCTTCCAGCTCTCAAAGATCTTTCCACAAAGACCACCAAGATCTTTCCAGCTCTCCAGGTCTTACCCCCAAGGTCTTTCCAGCTCTCTCAAAGGTCTTTCCTCAAGGACCACCAAGGTCTTTCCATCTCTCTCTCAAAGGTCTTTCCACAAAGACCTCAAAGGTTTTTCTCCCCAAAAGGGCAATTTCTGGGCCCTGGTGTAAATATTCAGAAAGCCCCAGGTGGGGACTGAGCAGGTTTTGGGGAAATGCTGAGCAGGTATTACCTGCTGGTGGCTTTTTTTTTTGGGGGGGGGAGTCTGTCCAAAAAACGCCTTCCTGGAGATTAAAAATGCAATAAATAACCCCTGGTTGTGGATGTGCCCCAATTATCACTCCTGGAGCAGCAGACTTGCTGATGGGCTGTTTTATCACCCTGGGCAGGGTTGTATTTTCCAAGCCCAGCTTTTCCCCAAACCCTGCATTTCCCTGCCCCTGCCTGGCTCCTGTTGGTGACGACACCGACCATTTGCATCTCATTTACCGGCCACAAAGTGCTCTCCAAACCTTTCCCAGCATCCAGACCATCCTGCCCCTGGAGGATCAGCCTCTCCTTTCTCCCCTGGCTCTGCTGGCTGATGGAAAACCATCCTGCACCACTCCCCCAGAACGGTGCTTTTGAGGATTAAATATATTAATTTATTATTTATTAATTAATTAAATTTAATTGTAATTAATTCATTCATTGGGACAAAACGGTGCTTTTAAACCTGCTTTTAAACCCTCGGCCCGAGGGGAAGGAGCTGGAATTTCCAGTCTGCTCCAAGGCTCCTTCTCCTGCTGCCCAGAGGGGGGGTTTGGAGCCCAGCTGGAAAATCAGGTGGTAAAATTGCTGCCTTTTCATCTCCCCAGCCAGGCCAGCCAGCGGTGCCGAACTTCGTGTTCAACCCTGGTGTCTCTAATGAACCCAATATCCAGCTCTTTAAATGGGGTTGGGTTTCTCTCAGGTGATTTTTATTTTATTCTATTTTATTTCATTTTTTTTTAGGGCTCTATTAATAGGGGGCCCCTATTTAAAAGCCACATCAGAGACGATCCACGCGTGCCCGACCTCACTCAGGGCAAGGACTCCGTTGCTTTATTAGGGCAACAAAAGTGGGTGACTCTCTGAAAGGGGAAAAGCTGCCCCATTTCTCCCCAGTTCAGAGCATCTGCCATTCCATTAACGAGGCCCATCTCGAGTGCTTGTGTTAGCTGATGAATTATCTGTCCCCTCAATCCGTAACCAAAACCACGGATCGTTTCTTCGGGATGGCAAAAAAAAAAAAAAACAACAAAAAACCCAGCAGGGTTTGCTCGTGGCAACAAAACACCTGTTTGGGTTAAGCTGAGCACGAGGAGCTTCATCTGCTTTGGTTTATAACTTTGGAAATAAAATTTCCCGGCCTAAAAAAGGACCAGCTTTGCTGGATCTCAGGGATGAAACCCCACAATCCTCAGGCAGCTCAAGGCTCTTGTTTTCTTGCCCGAGGGATCTCCTGGTGCCTTTTTTTATTATTATTATTATTTTCCCTGGAAAATCAAGCCAGCAGAGTTGCTCCCGCGGGTTGGTGGTTGCAGCTTTCCATCCGATATTTAAGGATCAGGTTGTTTTCCTCGCCTGGCTGCCGCATTCCCAGATGGTTATCCCGCATTCCCGGATGGTTATCCCGCATTCCCGGATCGTTATCCCACATTTCCCCCACCCCGGGATGCTCTCCCGGTGCCCGCGGGCCGGGATTACACCAATTCCCCGCGTTCCATCCCTTTTTCCATCCCCCCCACACCGGCCCCAAACGCGGGGTGGGAGGGGGGGGGACTGTCATGTAAATAATTGACCTCATTAGCGAGGCTTTCAGGGAGGATCCCGCGGGCAGAGGTGACACTTCCCATCTGCAGCTGATTCGGAACATCAACTGACGTTCCTGCTGTCACCGAAATCATCTCGGGTTCAGAAAGGGAAAAGTTACCTTAGAAATTACTGCCAAGAGGGGAAAAAATGAGCACAGGGGGTTGGTTATTTCGTGGCTGAGGAGCCCTGGAACAGCAAATCCCGGACTTTTCAGGGAGATCCTTCCACCCTGAAGTCAGCTGTGATGCTTTTCCTGCCCTTCACTCTCCCTGCCCGATTTTGCTTCTTCCGGTGACAAAAAAATGGTTGGGGGATTTTTTTTTTTCCAACGGGCAGCGCTAACGAGACAATTCATTAACCGGGGGGG